CTTTGTGGTTGCTTGTCAGTGGGCGTTGTCCCGCCAGCCCTTCTTCTGCAATATAGATAAGTATATGTGAGGGTGAGCGGTAACGGCGGGCCTGCTCCATCCCCAGTCTCTGACACATGCGCCTATCTCATGATGCCTCCTCCTATTCCCACAAAAAGTAGGCATCCCTGCCCTCGTCGTAGCCCACGTAGCACACCAGGCTGGCGTCACTTTCGTCTGTCGACGTCCAGCGCAAGAGCGCAAAGCAAGTTGTGTGAAACTCCGTCTCCGTCTTGTGAAATGTCAAAGCATCGTAGCGGTAGGGATACGATCTTGGGTATGTCGGCCCATAGCCGATGACTAGTTCCTCTCCCTCTTTAATGTTCCTCGCGGTCATAATGCTAAGGCGCCCCTCGCGATGCTTGTCCTCCTGTATCCACCCGCAGTTACTCTCCTCAAACTCGCATGGCTCGTTTATAAATGGCGTGAATGTCCCCTGAAACTCCTCAAAAACGACATTATCATAATCCGCACAGTTAAGATCCATCAACGCGTATTTAGTGGCCGGGCGACCAGACTTTATGTGCTCGCCGCTCAGCACATCAAGGTAGCCAGGATAGAGGCCCACAATCGTAAATGCAGGAATATCCTCGGCAGCCACGACACCAATACCACCCCCCTTCTCCGGCCGCTTCTCCCGCCTTAGAAAGCGACACGTTGCCTCTGACTGGTAGAATGAAGTGAGAACCTGCCGCAGGGATGCCACAAGGGCCACATCCTCGTCCTTGGAATGCGGCTGCTCTGCCTTCTTCGCGAGGCGCCGAATCTCCTGGCGAATGTGCGTGGGATATTCATCCTCAATCGACAAGGCCCGACTGGCCACGCGGCGTGAATTGCTTGGCTCCACTTTGGCCCTAATTTTGGCAGGAACAGAAATGTTCTCGCAGCTAAAGCACGCCCGCAAGTGGGTCTCAAAGCCAAAATTGGCCGGTTTCCAAGCAATTTGTTCGGCTGCTGCTTTTGTGGAGCACTGGTGATGCACTGTTAGTCCGCAGAAGCAGCAAAGCTTCAAGTCCTCATTTCCCTCCGGTTGGTGACAGACAAAACAGACCTTGTACACGGAAGCAAGCTGAAATCGAAGAAAAGCTTGCCACACAAGCAAATCTGTCAACTCCTGCCGAGGTTGGCCCAAGTTGAGGTTGCTGTCCCAGATGCTAATGCTGTAGCTGTCGTTCCACCAGAACAACCGCCCAGAGGCCTCGTCTTTGTTCAGTGACCAGTCCTTCGAGGCGGTCGGGACCACCACCACCATCACTGCTAACACGACGCGCGTTGTTGTTGGTGTTGGTGTTGTTGTTGACGAGAGGGGGGTGGAGAGCAAAAAAAAACACACAGATAGAAAGAGGAGAAGGCGTACCAATTGTAAAAGAAATAGAAAAAAAAAAGTCAATAGAAGAGGAGCACATGGTGCTCACCTCTCTCGGTAGGAGTGCGGGCAGGAGAAGGAGAGCCTCAGACCCCGCCACAAGCTGACAAACCACAGGAGCAACGAAAGGGGGATGAAGAAAACAAAGCAGGAAAGTTGGGGGGGGGGGGGAAGGTATCTCACATTGCCCCAGGGCACCTGGCCCGTTATTTGCCTCAATGCATCCCTCGCTGTGCCCTGAGACACTGTCAGCACCCCGCCCTTGCCCACGCTGCCCCTCCTCGTCAAAGATTCAAAGGACAACCTTGGAGTTAGGTCACACGAAGAAAGAACACTAACATAAAAAAAAACAATGGAGGGGCAGTGAGAAGGCGGAAATAAACACAAAAAGAAAGAAAGCGAGAAAGAGCGCGCGCGCACGCGAAAACACGAGGGAAGTCAACCCACAACGGACGCAATATGTGTCAAACGAGAGAAACCTAAGGTTCACCTTGTCATCGCTGAACCTTCTCCCCGGGTCCGAGAGAACCATCCCGCAGACGAATCCGAAAGAAAAATAGCATATATGCACAAGCAACCAAAGTAAAGTGAGGGAAGCAGAGACAGTAAAGAAGGGGCAAAAACACAGGGAGTGTATCAATACGAAGGAAAAACAAAAACAAAACAAAAACACACACACGCATGGAAGCCCCTTTCGTCAAAGAAAATCAAAAATTACATTCCAAGCATCTGACGCCATAGAAGTTCCTTTGGCGCTTGGTATGATGTCGCACGGCGAGCGTGTGGAGGGTTATGGTCAACAAAGTTGTCTTGCTTAAGCGTAAGCACCTCAATGAAACCGCCTGTGTCGCATTGCACACAACGACGCCGGAGCTCCGGGTGGCTATGGAAGGCATCAATGGTGACCTGTGGACTACTCAAGACGTCTTCAATGACGTCAGCAAGAACAAAAAGGGTGCTGTCAAACCTTGAGCACCCTCCGTATTGGCCCTTAAAGTCACTAACAAGCAGCCCATTTCGAGTATTTGCTCGTAAGCAATCGGGTGTATTGTCGATGATGATCGTCTGGTGGAGTGGACGACCCAAGGCCGCCACATCCTTCATATATCCGGGTCTGTCTGTCCACCACTTTTCATGGCGGTAGATACAGTGTTGGATGCAGCGCAGGGGATCTATCTCCTGCAACACCTCCATGGCATACAGCCTTTCCCCCGCAGTCCAGGCTACCACTTCACAGCGTCCACGCAGTACATCAAGAAGTCGGTTGATGCCAGGACGCGGAATGATCATGCCAGCGCGCGAATATACCAGCGTTTCATCGAGGTCAAGAACAACCACTAGCTTTCCCTCGTCAACGGCGCGTACGGGGGGAATAAAGAAACTGTCAGCATCAGAAGCGGTCGAGGCAGTACCTGTAAGAGTCCGTCGAAATCTCGCCCGCGACCGTGCGGGGGGCAAGATGGGTGACTGAGATGAAGGATTACACGCTGGGCTGTAGCGCGATCCTATGGGATCCTCGGTGCGTGACGAACTGGCCGAGATAGGAGGATACTTCGTAGGCACACTCGGACTCAGAGTGAAGCCGTGGCGACTGGAGATGCTCCCTCCCGCCGTGGTAAGGCTCTCACGACGCAAGGGACCCAGCGCGTGGGCACTTTCGCTTCCACACCTCCCACCTTTGACAAAGCATTTGCTCCCTAAGAGGAATGGTGTCGCAACACTTGCGGGGCGCACAGTGGAATGGACGGGCCTTGGCGTACGCGCAGTTGTGATGCAATCCAGCGGGGGATTGCACGGTGAGGTCGATGGCAAACTGTAACCAACTGGGCGTGTGGGCGCTCTATCCGGCATGCCGGCCCGACTTTGAACAGCAAAGAAGATATGCGCACACGGAGGAGTAACGGAGACGGAGGATAGTAAAAGAGAAGGAAGAATACGAACAAAGGAACAGGTGGCCTCCAAGCCAACATTCACGCAGATGCATGTGCACCGCACACGCACAGAGGCGGATATAGGCACAGGTCACACCCTAGCAGGAGCAAATAAAAAAAAAAGCATGACGTGTCACCAGTGAGATACGTGCCGAGTGATCTCCGTGCCCTGTCCATTCTCGTCGACCACTGCCACCTCTCCCAAGAGGAGCGGCAACTTCTACAATCACAGTAGCCATATCGTTTGCCGCCTTCGGCATGTCACGGCACAAAAAAAAAATAATAATAATAATAATCAGGAACGCCCTCCGCCAATAAATTGCTGCGAGTGGGCAATAAGGCGTGGGGGAATCAATGGCAAAAGAGAGAGCGCAAATTCGCTGAATCCACACTTGGTATCTGCCGCAAGTTCACGTTGTAGCGCAGGCTGCTTGGTGACGGTCTCACACAGCTTCAGGCACTCGTGCGCAGGCTCATACCCCAAAGATGTCGTACGACGCAGCGCGCCGTTGTTGTTTTTGTTTTTGCGTGCTTGCGGCAGTCACTCAAACGCGCGCAGCACCGCATTGGAGAGCAGCTCCAGACGCACGCCGGCAAGGCCGACACTCAAGAAGGCCACTCGAGCATAAATAAAACACCAGCGGAAAAGAAGTAGAAAAAAAAAGCGGAAGTGAGGAGCGCATGACCCAGACGACAAGTTACTCCTCAGAAAGGACGCAAGGAGAAACAAGGAAGACGCCTCTGCAGGTTGCTCTACACGAGCAGCTGCACTGCAAGGCACACACACACAAAGTTTACCATATATATATATATATATATACTCATAGACATATGTATATATTTATGCATACATATATATAAATATGGTGTGAAGAGAACGGTGTCAGAGCAAGGAAAGGAGGCAGGGAACGCGGGTATGGAAAACGGGGAACAGCGCAGCTGACCCTCACGTGTTAAAAGCAAACACCTCAAACGTAAACACAGGCCGTTCGCAAAAACAACGTATAACGTCAGCAGTCAAATTAGGGATGTCAAACATCCTCACATACCCCCAGTGAGGGCTCTCCGTGTTCTCCGCTGTCGAAGTCGTAAAGTAGCGTTCTTCACGATCATACAAGAGAGTGAATTTACAAAACGTGTGTGCCACAAAGGCCTTTGGGATGCCTGAGGCACCCACAACGTGAAGGCAGAAACGCAGACTTTTTCCAATCAGCTGCGTTGGGTCACATCGCTCAATGGCGTGAGGCTCACACGGAAACAATTGGATGTGCAACCTAGCCTCCGTGAGCACGCCGCACTCCGTCAACAGGCCAATGTAAAAGGAACGTCGCTGCCCCAGCAGCACACTCTCTAGCGAAATGCCACATCTACCTTTAAAAAACAGAAAGGAAGACTGCTCATCAAGCGAATGAATGAAACCTTCTGCAGCAGCCTCCACCCGCCTCCGAAGAGCGATATTGCTTAGCCGAAGGTTGTTAAGAGTCAACTCCAGTTTATCCCTGGTGTCGTGATGATTATCAGCATATGCAACTTCCTTCCACAGCGCATCCCTCTCTCGAGTCAACTGTCCAATTTCCTCCTGCTTCCGTGCCCTCTCCAGGCCAATAGCATCTAGTCTGCCTTCTAACGACGCAACAAGCTCCTTAAGCCGCCTAAGCTCAAGATTCTTTTGCGTATCATTCACCTTCGCTTTGTTGGTTATGGCCATGGCATTCTGCGCGTATTCCAGGGTGGAGGTGGTCTCCGTCAAGTTGGTTGCCGCAGGGGACACCGTTGCGAGCATCCACGTCTTGCTGTTGCCGCCAAAGCTCTCCGACAGCAGACGAGTTAGCTTTGAGGCGCGCAGCGAAATAAAGGTGTCGCCCCCTTTGCGGTCGCTGAACGAGTTCATCGCCCGACCCAGCATCAACAGTGACTGGTTAATCTTCTTGGCCTCCTCAAACGCGACCCCGGTGGACTCCGCCTTGCTCTGGCGCTCACTCCCAGCCAAATCCACTAACAAAACGACGCTCTCTACATCCCGCATCTCCAACGACTCGTACTTCTGCGAGATGGTAATTTGAATGATGGCGTGCGACCGCGAGCTCGTCTCGTTCATCTTTGTCTCCCCCGTCTGACGATTGGCGTTGCCCTTCCTAAGGAGCTCC